GGAGAGGGAGGGAGAGGGAGGGAGAGAAAGAAAACACATGGCCGGCAAGCCACTCCCACTAGGTCACATGGCCAGCAAGCCACTCCCACAAAGGAGGCCACACCCACAGAGTAGGTTCCAAAATTTTTTGACACCCACGACTGCTACAATAATAGAAAAGAAAGAGAGAGGGAGAGAGGAGGAGAGAATGAAAGGAAGATGGGGGGAAAGAAGAAAGAGGTAAGGAGAAGAGGATGGAAGGGAGAAGAAGAGAAGGGGAGAGGGTAGAAAGGGGAAGAGGAAGAGTAGGAGTAGGAGAAAGGGAAGAAGAAAGGGGAAGGAGAGGAGGAAGGAAGGAAGCAGGGAAGGGAGGGAGGGAGAAAAGAAAGGGAAAATAAGGTGGTGTTGCAGCAGGAGGAAGGGATGGTAAACAAAGCAACACAAACTGTATATTATAACCTTTTAGATAAAATAGTAAATGTATAAGAAAGAAGAATAACAACTATGTGGATGTATACTTGAAATGGTATGTAAGAGAACAAAAAATTAAAAAAAGTTTCTGGGAGGAAAAAATAAAAAGGATGCAGAGGACCAGCTCCCTGCAAGGATATATCCATCCTTCCATTTCCCCATGAAGAAGCTTTTTGGAGAAGAAGCAAAATGCCTTTAAAGGAAAAATCGAGGAAGTCCAGTTGCCACCTGAAAAAGCACATTTGGATGTGATTCTCAAGCTATTTCAGGAGTTTTATGACTGGTCATTCGGCTGGGCATCGCAGGGAGATGACAACTACAGACCTAAAACATAAATTGTGTTTCCCCTCCTTTTTTCCCCCTCCCCGGCAGTGGAATGCATTGTGGATGTCGATTGCCAGACACGAAACGGGATGGAGCCGTGGCGGACTGGAGAGCAGGTGAGTGGCGCCTTAAATACCTCCCTGCCCTTTAGACCTGCTTGTTAGGCCCCGCTTCCTCTCGCCCGAGGAGGCTTTGCACAGGTGTGTGTGCCCGCAGAGGCAGTGTGTCTTTCTGAGCATGCATGCTCCAGGCTGCCTCAGGTGTTCCTAGCACTGTAATTAATAAAGTTAGGAATAATTTAGGCTCGCTCCCTAGCCACTACGGCCTCCCACGCTTCCACGCGTAGTTACAGAGCTTCTAATTTTAGTGCTCGCTGTTTCAAAGAGTCCGTCTCCAGGGATGGTCCAGGCCCTTAGTTTGACCTGGAAGGGATACTGAAGAAATAAAGGATGGGGGCTGGGGGGGGGCAGAATAGAGGACGGTGCCCCCCAAAATTCCTGCTTCAGATGATCCATTCCTATTTGGGCCTTCTCCTCCTAGCTTGCAAAGTACAGGTATCTTGTTTCCCTGAAAATAAGACCTCCCNTGATGTCAGGTACGCGCTTTAATCGGGCGCGCTTTAGTGGACCGCGGTTTTGACGGGTCACGGTTCCCTGAACTATTAAAAATTTCTGCTACCGGTTCTCCAGAACCTGTCAGAACATGCTGAATTTCACCCCTGTTTGCATCCTTTAAGAGGGTCTTTGAAGCACTTGGAGGTTTATCGGCGTCCTCAGGGTTCCCTTGAGCGGTGTTCCAGGAAGAAGCTCTTTGCGGGAGAAGCGAAACGTCTTCAAAAGGGAAAAAAAAACCAAGAAAGTCCAGTTGCCTCCAAACACCTTTGGAACCACCCGATTGCAGGGTCCGCAGACCCCCACGGGCCGGACTCCATCTCCTGAGCTTCGCTGGGGGTGCAGCAGCTGCAAAGAGCGCCTGTTCGGCGGAGACTCGCGCACCAAGCGCGGCTCTGGCTCAGCGCTTCTTCGGGCTAATTGCTGGCCGGCAGGAGGCGCCGCGAAGCCAGCGCACGCCGCCTGCAAGCAAAGCAAAGCAAGCAAAGCTGCCTTGGTTGGTTGGCTGGGAAAAGCAGCGAGCGGGGCTGGCGAGCCGACGGGAGCCGTTTTGCTGGGCTGCGTGCGAGCTGCGGAGCCGGCCCGGGCTTGCGTTCCCCGCGCCCCTCGCCCGGGGCAAAAGCAAGGAGGGTGATGCCAACTGGCAGGCTCCCCAGGGCGGCGGCAGCAGCGGCGGCGGCGGCGGCGACGGCAGGGAGGGAAGATTTCACAGCAGCTGTTTTTAGTGCCTGCTGCTAATTCAGCCGCAGGAACAAACTTTTGGCTATTTCGGCAACGGCAGGAGTCACAAGGCGCCCGGCCGGCCCTCCTGTCTAAGTTTAAGCCTCCTCCGCCAACTCCTTCTTTTCCTCCTTCCCTTCTTCCCTAAAGCCGACCCCGCCCTGGAGCTAAATATAATCGCCTTCCCTTCCTCTCCCTGCCTCTGTCTGGACTTTGCCCGGCTGGCCGGTCCCCCCCGAGTCGCCTTTCGGAGCTCGCCGGGGGCCAGAGAGTGGGGGGAGGTCGAGGTTCCCAATTGAGGGGAGAGGGAGTCCTCTGAAACAGGGGCAAACTCCCCCCCCCCCGCGCTTTCCTCGCGACCCCCGCCTCTTCTTTGCTCTGTAAGTGCCTTTTATGATGTTTTTTTCGCCCCTTTTGG